TTACCTAGTCCACTTTACTCCCACCACAATTATCAAACAAAAGAAGGACAACAGAGAAACTTCACACATGTCCCAAACAATTCAAAGGAGGGAAGAGAGCCACGCCCAGCCACAGGTGAGTCTCCTTATCAAGGTGTGCACTCCTGGATTGTCCAATCAGGGTCTCCCTCCTCTAATTAGTTGGACGGCCCCAGATTGACATCAGCCTGCGACCTAAGGGAACGGCAAACAAAAGGAGAGGGAAAGAAAACATGCAGCCTGCAGACACGTAACAACTAACCATGATAATCAAGACGGCTTCCACTGAGCTATGTTGCAACATTCATGCTTCACAATCATCTGTACAGTAGCAAAAAGTCATGGCGTGTCTGCATAGCCTCCTCAATTATAGGTGACTAATACACATTGAGTCAGCTGCTGAGAGGGTATGTGGGCTCTGTGATAGGCTGGCTTGTGTTTCAGGATGTACTGTTGATTAAAACAGAAGGACTGACAGCAATCTCTGTACCTAAACCACTGAAGCAAAAGGTTAGGTGCAATTTTAGCTCATGAAACTAACATGAAACTTTAAACCTTATGATAGTTTCCAGAAATGATCATTTAGACCATTTAAGTGTGTAGAACTGATGCTGTGCATTACAATATTTTAATCATAGTTTTCCTACCTGACTCATACGTGAGAAAGCCAGACGAAAATATCTGAAAGTGTATAGTTCACTGAGAGACTGACCTGCAGTGAAACCAAATGTTTTTATAAAAGCACAAAAGTTTCCATCTACAGTAACTTACCTAAGTCATAATACATGAATTTTCTTTTATGAATCAGTAAATTGTTGAGAATCTTTGCCTTCTCTACTAAAAATAATACAACCATAAGAATCATAGCTGCATTTTTTCAAAATAGACATTTGCATATAAAAGAAGAAACAAAACAGCAACAAAACCCCTAAAACTCATTCAGCAGTCAAGACCTAATATACATCATAGATAATACATCTTGGCTGTTATTGGCTATTGGCTGCTGCAACTGGTGTTCATCATTTTTTGAAGAGTCTCTGACTAATGAAACATAGCCCGATCAAGACTTCCGGGCCAAACCCACAGACCAAAGAAATATAAATAGACCTGAGAAGAGAAGAAAAATGAGTGTTAATTCTTCTTGCAAGTGATCAAAGTCCAGTGCATATTTGATATAAGAATCATTCACATAATAACCTTGAAGGGAGTTCAAAATGGTGAATATGTAGATCCCAGCGAGTGAAACGTACGTAGTGCTGGCTAACCCCCAAGGTAACCCCAGCACAAAGCTGAGGCCCAGCACTGTGACACAGTCCCTCCATAACCTCTTTTTTTTCTCTTTGTTTGTCTCCTTCCAGTCACTGCTGCTTCCAAAGCTCATCTTCTTATCATCACTTCTTAATTTCCGCATCTTACACACAACCAGCCCCAGCATGCAGGCGTTGAACAGGACCACCAACAAAGGAAAGGCCACGGTAGTGATGTAGCTGACTAGAGGACGCTTTGATTGGAAGTCGCTGCTAATCCAGCACCTGCCCATTATAAAAGATAAAATAA